CTACGCAAGAAAAAGAAATAGGAAATATATGAGTTGCGACGTTCAGTGGCTGTCAGGCGCCAAAGGGCAGCCGAAGACACGCTAAAGTTAGTGAAAGACAGCGCTCTGAATTCTAATTTCTGAGTACGTTCAAGTATCCTTGTTTTATTATTCTGTTCTTTTACTATTTTTTTTTCTGAGGAGACTTCCTATCGGCGTCCCCATATTATGGAGGAAATACCGTTGTCTTCATCGTGTTAACGCACGCAAATTTCACGTTAGTTGGTGTGTGCAAAAAAGAGCTTCTGTACGCATTTGTTTAATGGGACCTGAACGGATCGTGATAGGGTCTCAAGTGCTAGAGGCATCAACACTTACACAACAAAGGAACGTACGAAGACGCACGTATTTCGTACAAAAAAACGAGAGGTCATTCACCGGGGCCGAGTATTCGGCGGTAGCACTCTCAAACATTGATCAGATCACCGACTTTTTACAATCGACGCGTGGCTGTCCAGTACGCCCACGGCAAAGCCAGAAGGCTTGACCACGTGGTCCCGTTGTGGGAGTGTCCAGGCTTGCACATCCGTGTCGTGTGCAGCATAACCAAGAAGACAAATAGGCATACTTATGACAAACTTTGACACACTCTAACCCATTTTCACAGCAAGTCCTTACGCTAAAATTATTTTTAGGCTGAATTTCAGGCAATGCTATTGTTGGGAATTTTATGAGCGAGTGCAGCCGGCGAATCGCAAACATGCGTGTACTCATAAATGAAGGAAAAGAGCGTGACTTCATCATTTTTCTCAACATTTATGCAATAAAAAAGTACACACGCGTTTCTGCGGTGACTTATTATAGCATATCTGCTAATTTCTTTCCTCGGTGTCTTCGATTCCCGGCTGCAGCGGCTGCATTTCCGATGGAGGCGAAAATGTTGTAGGCCCGCGTACTCAGATTTGGGTGCACGTTAAAGAACCCCAGGTGGTCAAAATTTCCGGAGCCCTCCACTACCGCGTCTCTCATAATCAAATGGTGGTTTTGGGACGTTAAACCCCACAAATCAATCAATCTTTCCTCGGTGTCCGTTGCTGGAATGTTGCATTAACATTCGTCGCTTGACATAAATATCAAATATGTGGTTTAACGAGAACTGTTTCGGAAGTGACGAGATTGGTGTCATTAAAATAAATAAACGAATGAATAGACATACAGATAAATAAGTAAATGAATAAATAAATAAATGAATAAAATGGTTAATGCAGCTTGACAATGTCCACGTATCTATGAGGATCATTTTACATTGCGATAACAGCCTTATCAGACCATGCACGCTGAATGCCATCATCCTCAGTCGGCTGTCACAGACGACCATCTGGCGGAAGCGGAAACTTCATCATTTCCCTGACTTATTTTGCAGCTGAGCCAAGCTATATGAATTGACATCGGCTGAGCAACAAGCAACATATAAAACGCCCGTCAAGTCGCTACTAAATGGCGCTTACAGCCACGGGCGAACGTCCCATCTGTAAAAATCATCAGGCGTGTCATCCATTCATAAAATCTGAGAACTAAACAAAGAAGAAGAAGAAGAATGTGTAACGAGGGGAAAACCCGAAGGGCCAGAATCGCTAGGCCGGATCGGCGTGTAGCAGGGTACGTGGTCTCAGACAGAAGTGCGATCTGTCAGACGACGCCCCGCGTTCTTCAGCGCTTGTCCTGCATGCACGTTCGGTCTTCGGAAGCCAGATCCTCGTGCACGCGTTTCGCCGACACTGTGCAGGCGCTCCGGAGTGAAAATGCACCGTTGCCAAGCTACCACCACCAGGTGGCCAGTGATAACAAACGGAGGAATGACAACAGAAGGCACCGGGCACCCACAATTTACGGTCAGCGCGCCTGCAGGCCTGCAAAGTAAGAGCCCGTAAACAAATACACAAGAAGACGGGCCCGCACGTCTGGTGAATCAGTGGAGAAAAAGAACGAGGATTTTCAGTTTTAGGAGAGATAAACAAACCGCTGGCCGGAAAAGGCGCTCAGCCAAAAACACTCCGAGAAGAGAGTGTCAAATCTTCTTTTTCAGGAACTCCAGCACCAGCCGGCTGGTCTGGTTCGGAGTGATATCAGTGTCTGCAGTACTGTCAAGCCTGGTGACTAGGCTGCAGGCTGTCCGTGGTCAAGAACAGGCAGAACAGGCCATAGAACAGGCAATATCAAGAACAGGCAGCGTGATCTTGATAGTGAGCCGAGTTTTGAAGGCAAATGAGACGGAACCTCGAAAGCTGCAGCAGCCATGGTGGAAGGGAGGGGACCCATTAGACAGGAAGTGAGCGCGTTCGCTTAAGTTCGAATATGCACGGTTCACATCCGTGCACACGCAGAGGACATGCCTTTACGACCTTCGCGACGCCTGGGTGGGTCGGGAGACTCTCTGGAGATAGAGCGACAGCACTCGCTTTTTTCTTGTTTCATTTTCGTCATTTACTCTACACCTGTACCTATACGCTTTTCTGTAATCACTTCATTAGATTATTAGCGTTTTGTGTTTGTGCTTGCTTCTCGGATAGTTCATTGCTCTGTTTCATAAGCCTCCGCTTGAAGTGACCTGATTATAATACATACGTGCCCTCCTTCCATTCCACCCTCACCACTTGATCGCATTTTTTTCGATTGTTCCGGCACATGCAGAATTCTTGTCGTCCGCGCTCCTCGGTTTGTCGCGAATATAGTTTTCTTGTCGAGGCTGTAAAGAGTGCGCTATAGTTTCTTGTCGAGGCTGTAAAGACTTATAGGGTTGGAAAAGAGCAACGTGGCACTCGCGCGGGGATGCAGATTTTTTAGACTTGCTGAAGAAGCAAAAAATAACTTTGGAACCCCGACAGAACGTTAGTAAGACCGTTACGGATATGAAAGCTTCGTTTTACATTTCAATAAAATGCTTTTAGTAGTTAACGGCGGTGACACCTGTGTATCTGAAACGAATGTAGAGGAGATATCTGTAAGGCATACCCACTTGTAAAAGCGTCTAGTAAATTTTGTTTATTTGTGCTGGCTTCGACAGCGTTATGAAAATTTCAATTAGAGCACACTGCTAACAGCAAGGCTCAAATGATCAGGTCTTACTGGTCGGCAAGGAAGACGACGACTCAGACGTGTAATGGCATGGCGGAGACGTCGCAGACCACTTCTTAGGATAAATGCTATGCAATGAAATTCCACTCGACCGAACTTCAATGGAACCCAAGAAAAGGTTCGTTAAAATGAATGTTCACTGAGCTGAAATAGCTATGTTGCAACTTGTTACCAGGAGCTAAAAAAATGTCAGTTCCTCAAATGAAATTTGAGCCTTGTTTCTTGTAATGTTGCCTAATCGAATATGAATTTAAGCTTACTTAGCATGTTTTGAAGAATGTAGTAATACTTTGCTGCACTTATGTACGGCGGTGACCATGAATTTAGTCACCGTGTCCAAGCTCTTGAAAGCTTCTCCGGCACAGTACTCTGCTGGACAGCGAAGGACTTCACTATTTTGAAGTACATCAGTGCTTCTTTAGCTGAAAATCTTGGTACCTCCTTTGCAAAGGTTACATCTTCATCCTTCTCCTCCTCCTCATCATCATCTTCTCCTTCTTGATTTAGGACGCTCGCTATAGTCTTGTCTGTAGACAGAGTGGCGCATATCTCGACGCCGCCAAATATGTAACCAGCCAGTGCCCTTCTGAGCTCACTGGGTTTGACTGTTTGTCACGTGACATGAAGTGCCTTAACCAGCGCAAAATAATGTCTTCCGTGAGGGGCGCCGGTAGGTACCGCTGGCGGAACATATCGCGAAGGCCAGGAGAGAGAGAGAGAGAGTAAAATGAGGGAAAGGCAGAGAGGTTAACCAGATGTTGGAGCATCCAGTTTGCTACCCTGCACTAGGGGAAGGGAAATGGTGAAAAAAGATGGGAAAAAGGTATGCTACAGAAAGTGTGGTTGAAGTTATATTCATCATGCAGGGAAGCATTTGATTGTGCCGCAAAATATCTTCGTATAACTGAAATGCACTCTCCACTATATTTCGTTGAAATGAAATTTGTTAGTGGTGGATCCAATGGCGCCTTCGGTGGGGTATTTAGGCAAGTTTCGTACAATTGAAAAGTTGGTTTAATTGTAGTTATTTCAAGTGGTGTTTTAGTGCATATGAAACGATGTTCGTCAAGTGCTGCAGTTTAATGTCCGCCGATCATTGGTACGCTACCTTGAAAAGCGACTTACTCCAAGGCTTTATTAAGAAGTAAACAAAAAAAAAAACACCACGCAAAGTTTTTTTCTTTAATCATGCCTTGCGAAGAAAGCAGGAATTCTCTTATTAGAATGTTCACTTAACACTCTTATAATGAACACTGCAAACTTAATATTTCGTTGAGTATTTGCCCTGCTGTATTAATTTTGGTGTCGATCAGCCACAATCGATAGAATCGTAATAAACTGGGAATTTTATTTTAATCGTACCGGCTGTGGTGGCCGTACAAATACATTCGTGAACGAAGTTTTTTAATGGCCGAAAATTCTATTTTTTACAGATTATCGGACGACAAAGAGGCACCTTAGATAAAATGCACCTTGCTATTCTTCCGTCAAAGATGCGTTTGAATTCTACAACGTATTAAGCCAATGGACAAGTTCTGTTTGTGAAACGCGTCCTTTGCAGAGGCACCTGCTACTCAGGACGAGGTAGGACCGGTATTCTTTTTTAATCTTCTCTTCCTAAGGAAAACATCGTCAACCTTATTTATCAACCTTTCATTTAAAATCTATTCTGAGGAGCCTTTCAAAAGCTGTAATATAAATTGGAAGAAAACGAAACAGACGAAATTGGGAGTTATTCAAACCAACTGCTCCTTTGTCACAACCGGTTCAGTGGACAGCACGCTTGTCAGAGAGCACGCCACCATGTTACGCGGACGTCGGCAGAGCAGGCCTGCATATCTGAGCAGTAGACGACGGGCGTATAAAGGTGCGCGCGAGGAGGCTGT